CAGGGCTCATCCCACTGCTCCCATGTGGCCCCTTCCCACTGCCGCTGGGAAGCTGATATGCTGGTGCCAAGGTGAGGGCAGAGGGCTGAGGGCTCCTGACACTGGATGTAGGGGAGCTGCCCCTCCTGGGGCACCTGCCTTTTCCTCTGAGCCCCAGAGTGTCTGAGGACTTTAGGGCCAGGGTCAGCACACTATGGCCCATGGTCTAATTTTATTTGTTTGTTCATTCATTTGTTTTTTGAATTGGCAATTCAACCCAGGTTCACTGAGCTATCTCCCTAGCCCTTTTTGCATTGAGACAGGGTCACTAAGTTGCTGAGAGTTTTGCTAAGTTGCTGAAGCTGGCCTCCAATTAGTGACCCTCTTGCCTCAGCCTCTTGATTTGCTGGGGTTTCAGGTGTACCCACTGTACCCACTGCCTAGTTTTTAAATAAAGTTTTATCAGCACAAAGCCAGTAAAGCACATTTAGTGCTGTCAATGGCTACTTTGAGGTCACAACCACAGTGTTGAAAGGTTTCAGCAAAAGTCCTGTGAGCCTGAAACATTTACTGTGGGGCTGTATGGGAAAGTCTGTGGACCTTGCTCTAGGGCACCCTCCTTGTGCCTCCCTCCCCTAGGGGCCTAGGCAGAGTGAGGGCTTCCCTGAGGCCCCCACCCAACCATGGGCAGGGCCTGAGTGCTGGGGCTACTGGTAGAAGAGCTTTGTGGCTGTGAAGAAGGTGCCTGGTGTCTGGACCCTGTGAGATGGAGGGGAGCACACTGGGCTGGGCTTCTTCCCCCTCCCGCCCCCGCTCTTTCACACCCTTGGTGTAGCAGGGGTGCTGTGGCCCTGCCTGCCCTCTGCAATGGGCTGTCCCCATGTGTGTGAGGAGTTGTCTCAAGTGCACCTACTGCCCTGCCCCAGCCCCAGCTCTGGCTAGTATATGGCCCTTCATCTTCCCTGAGCCTGGTCTCTTGGGGATAGTGGCCCCTGCCTGCCCTGCCTTTCATTCCGCTCAGGATACAGTAGATCCAGTTCTGCAAGTCCCAGGGACAGCAAGGGGGATGTGACCTGGGGCTGGGGGGGATGGGATGTCCAGCAGGGAGGCTGAGGGTGACACTGGGCCTCTCCCCAGGCCCAGGTAACCAAGTTAGGCGAGGAGGTGAGCCTCCGTTTCCTGAAGAGGGAGGCCAAGCTGTGCAGCTTCCTGCAGAAGAGCTTCCTGGCCCTGGAGCAGGTAGGATCCTGGGCCAGACCGGGCACCCTCACCCATGTACCCAGGCCAGGCAGGGGCCTGGCAGACGGTGGTGTTCCTGCAGAGAATGAAGGCCTCTGAGAGCACACGGCTGCAGGCCGAGGGCAGCCTGCGGGAGGAGCTGGAGGGCCGCTGGCAGAGGCTGCAGGAGCTGACAGAGGAGCGTGTGCAGGCCCTGGGGGCTCAGCGCCAGGTGGGCCAGGTGGGTGGGCGTGGCCAGGGCAGTCTGGGAGAGCACCAGCTCAGGGCCACCTCCTCTGCGACAGGAGGAGGAGGGCCACCTGCTGGAGCAGTGTCGGGGCCTGGACGCGGCCGTGGTCCAGCTGACAAAGTTCGTACGGCAGAACCAGGTGTCAGTGAACCGCATCCTGCTGGCTGAGCAGAAGGCCCGGTGGGTGTCCTCTGGCCACGGGGAGCTGCATGCCCAGGCAGGCCACCCAGAAGTCATCCACCTCCCCTGGAAGGCACTAGCAGAGCACTAGGACTTATCCACTGGGACAGAATAGTGACCCTCTAGCTGGGTCCTGTCCCTTCCCTAAACCTAACTCTCTTGGAGGCACCCATGAGAACATCCTGTCCTCTGATCCATGGGCTCTCCTGGGAGATTCCAGAGCGAGCTAGCAGCTGTGTCCTCTTCCCTGGCCTGATGCTGAGGGGCAGACCAGCCTCAGCTGAGAAACAGTGTCAGTGTTGTCAACCCACAGGAATACCAAGGTGTGCCTGGAGGAGAGCCAGGCTGGGGAACTGGCCTCCTTTGTGCAAGAGAACCTGGAGGCCGTTCAGCTGGCTGGCGAGCTGACCCGGCAGGAGATGCAGGGTGCTCTGGAGCTGGTGAGGGGGTGCCCAGGGAGAGGGGCAGCACACACCCTGCACATGACCATGGTCACTCAGCTGAGGCCTCCCTGACCTCCTCCTGTCCCCTGCAGCTCCAAGAGAAGAGTCAGGTCCTAGAGGGGTCAGTGGCCCAGCTGGCTAGGCAATTGAAGGACCTGAGTGACCACTGTCTGGCTGTGAGCTGGAGGCTGGACCTTCAGGAACAGACATTGGGCCTGAAACTATCTGAGGTAAGCACCAAGGGGCAGTAAGGCACATTCTGGAAGGCCTGGGCCCTGAGGGCAGAGGTCTGACCAGTCCAGCTCCACTGCTGAGACCTGAGGCTGTCCCTAGGGGTGGATGAACAAAGGTGGTAGCCACCCATGGCCCTGGCGTTCATTTCCCTTCTTCTCCTGCATCATCGCTGAGCTATAACCTGTAGGCCGGGCCATCCCCTCAGGTGTGCGATTCAGTGGGTTCCAGTTCCTTCAGAGCTGGGAGCCCTGTTGATTCCAGAACTTTTCATCACCACAAATGGAAACCCCAGACCACCCATCAAGTCTCCCCAACACCCCAGCCCCTGGCCCCTCAGATCCATCTCTGTGCTTGTGGCCTTGCCCACAGGACCTTTGATATCAGTGAAGTCACACACATGTGGCTGCTGTTTCTGGCTGCTCACTGGGCCAGGCCCTCACAGTGTATCCTCCTGGCAGGGTGACATCCCCTGGTGTGAGCAGGCCACCTTTTGTTTGCACACATGCCTGCTGAGGGACGTGTGGGCTGCTGTTATTTTTGGCTTTTGGGAATCATACTGCCATGACCATGAGGGTCCACCCTTTGATCTTGGGGCTGGAACCCCCAGGTCATCCCTGTAGCCCCTCTGGGCACACACTGGTCAGAACAGCTCATGACAGGCCCTCTCCTTCAGGTGACAGGCCTGCTCTTCGTCCCTGTCCCTGTCGGCTCTTGGTGGTAGAAGATCTGTGCCCTTCTCGGTGCATCTGGGCTGAGCCTGGCAGCCCACTTGACTGGGCTCTGGGCATGGATGTCCCCCTAGGTGGCTGCAGCAGGCCTGGGCACAGACTGCTCAGAGTCAGAGGTGGATGTGGGCATGTGGCCTTCAGGAGCTTCTCCCCAGCCTCCTGGGCCTCTCCATGTCCTGGCTCATAGCCCTGTCCTTCTGCCTGCCTGAACTCTTATCTGGGACCCAGCCTTCTCTGTGTCTGAATCTCAGGTGAAGACTGAGTGGGAGGGTATGGAGAGGAAGTCCCTGGAAGACCTGGCCCGGTGGCAGAAGACAGTCTCAACTCACCTGCGGGAGGTGCAGGAGAAGGTGGACGGCCTCCCGCGGCAGGTGGGCCTAGCCTGTCCAGGCTCTGCCAGCCTGGGGAGCTGGAGGGCTTCTCCCACCCCTCCCCTCTCCTGCCTTCCTTGCTGGGCCTGGACGGCCCGGGGCTCCCCAAGCTGGCTGTGCTCGGGGTCACCCCCCAGGTTGTCCGCGGCCTCCATTTCAGATAGAAGGCGTCTCAGACAAGTGTATCTTCCACAAGAGCGACACAGACCTGAAGATCTCAGCCGAGGGCAGGGTCAGGTGAGGGTGCCCCTGAGAAATGGGCAGAAGCTCTGCCAGGTGCCCATGGCAGCCCCGTCCCCTCCCTGGCCTGGCCAGCCCTACTCTGGGATCACCTCTCCTCTGGTGCAGCTTCCCCCCTGCCACCCACTGGGAATCCCCACTTTCTGCACTAGAAGTGGGCAAGGCCAAGTCCTCTTGGGCTCCCTTTGACCTATGGAAGCTAGGGGAGGCACCTATCTGTCTCACCTGGACTCCATAGCTGCCCTCGGTGCCCACAGAGAGTTCGAAGTTGGTGCCATGAGGCAGGAGCTGGCCACCCTGTTGTCCTCTATGCAGCTGCTCAAGGAGGAGAGCCCCGGGAGGAAGATCGCTGAGATCCAGGGACAGCTGGCCACGGTACCTTGGGCCCAGGGAGTCCACCATGCCTACACACTTGCCAGAGCTCCCAGTGCTCAGGGATTCCAGGTTGGGCCCTGGGGCTGGCTGGACACCAGAAGGCCACCTGTGTCTTGCCCGTGACAGGGGCTATGTTTAGTTTCAGAAGCAAATGATAAAACTGGAGAGCAGCATGCAGGCCCACAGGACCATCCAGAACCTTAAGTTCAACACAGAGACCAAGCTGGTGAGAGGGGCTGGGGGCTCCCAGGGCTGGGGCAAGCCTGGCCCTGCTCCCTCTAGCCTGCAGTCTGCCCAGCAGCCCAGCTGGCACCCAGCAGCCTTTTCCTGAAGATGAGGGCCTCTGGCCTGGGCTGCCCCCGCCCCTGTCGTCTACTCCCATGTTCTGTGATCCTCCGTTGTTCTGCTCCCCACCCCCACCCCGTGGCTCCTGGGTAACGCCAGGGGCCCCTGTGTCCTGCAGCGCACAGAGGAGATTGCAACCCTGCGGGAGAGTGTGCTGCGCCTCTGGAGTGAGGAGGGCCCTTGGCCATTGACACTGGGCAGCAGGCGGGTTCTCATGTCCCTGGTGAGGCAGCGGTTCTTCATCAAGGATGTGGCTCCTGGAGAGCTGGTCTCCGTGAACTGCTGGGGCGTGTATCAGACTGTGAGGTGGGCAGCAGGGAGCTTGGCGGCAGCCCCTCAGGTTCCAGGTCTGGGGTAGGACAGGGAGGTCCCCACAGGGAGGGAAGGTGGTGAGAGGTGCAGGCCATGATCCGGGTCCCTGGGCAGGTGGCTGCAGTGGAAGACCGTCCTCATGAACCTGGTGGTCCGGCAGAGGCAAGGCGTAGTCTTGAAGACATCCCACCAGTAGCCTGCACCCCAGCGCACGTCCTTGTCCCTTTCCCAGAAATAAATGTGCTAGCTCTTGTACCACATGGGGCCATTACTCCCTGATACCTGCCAGTGAAATCCTCCCCAAGTGCCTGTGTGACTGACACACAGGTTGGGCAGTGGGAAGGACCAAGACCAGGAGACCAAATTCCCCAATCCCTAGGGTCCTTCCTGTCCTGCCCAATCTCTTTCCCCCACAACCCAGGAGCCCCACATCCCCAGGAGAAAGGGTCTTGGCCTGTCCAGAGGCACCCAGACCTACTGCTGCCAGGACCTACGCGAACCCCCCAGCAGGAATGAAGACACTGGGGTTGCAGGCTTGTGGCTGACCACCTCAGGCTGGGCCCAGCCCTGCAAGCTGACCTGTCATCCAGAGTGCTGCCCGAGGAAGCCACTTCTCAGCACTCATCCAGGGAGTAAACACCCATGTTTACTCAAGTCAGGAGCCTCTTTCTGCCTCTTAAGAAAACCCAGGCTCATCTGTGTCCCTGGCCCTGCTGCCTGCCTATGCTACACCAGGGACTGCACCAGGGACAATCAGCACTGGCCCTGTGGGGTGCAGGTGGGCTGGCTCTTGCCACTGACCTGAGTCACAGGGGATGGCCTGGCAGCGATGGGGCCTCCGCTAGAGGGGTACATGTGTAGGTAAACACCCCTAGCCCATGATCTCAGGGAGCCAAAGCTCCTGCCCAGGTTCTCCCTCCTGTAGGCAGAGCCCTGGGGGCCCCTGTACAGAGTGGGGTGCTTCTAGAGGCTGAGGCCAGGGGCTGGCTCAGCCTGGACACCCTCACTAGTCCTGCACCCTTGCCAGTCCTGGTGACCCCTGGCAGTAACAGCCATAGGCTGCAGGACAAGACCAGAACCTCCTTTGGGGCCTGGAAAGGCCTTGCCTGAGGTGGGCAGCCAGGTCACGGCTATCTGGAAGGAAGGAATTCAGGGAGCATGAGGGAGAGTCTGGGCACCCTGGGAAGGGTGGCCTTTGCTGCCTCCAGCACAGCCTTCACCTTGCCCAGTCTCTAGGCTTCGGTCAGTTGTGTCCCCTCCAATGCCTGAGCACCCCCACCCTGCAGCTCAGGGCTGGCCTCAGATGACCAGCTGGCCAGCAGGTCACTGAAGTCTGGTGTGCCAGGGTGGAGAAGGCCCAGGGGACTGGGCGCCGGCTCCTTCCAGAAGGATGGGGGCAGCTTCCTCTGGGTCATGGGGGTGATGTGGCTGTATTTCCGCTCCAGCCTCAGTCTGTGGCCAGCTGATGCCCTGGGCCCCAGAAACTGCCGCAGCCCATAGTCAAAGAGCTCAGCCAGGGGTCCCAGTGGCAGTGTCCCATCCTTGCTGAAGCCTGACCTGTGTGCCTGCCCCTCAGATCCCCTGGACAAGTGGACCTCAGGCTCAGTGGCCTCCTCGTCCTCTGGGGCCCCGCCCTGAGCCAGGCACACCAGGTCAGCATAGTACAGCTCTCGGGCTGAGTGGCTGGCCAAGTGGCTATCCTCATAGACATCACAGGCATCTGGGTCCTGCCCCTTGTCCTTAGGACCAAAGTACCGCTGGATGTCACCACTGATGAGCTCTGAGAAGCGCAGCAGCCTCAGCGGAGTCTCTGGGCTGTTGGGACCTTGGGGAGCCACCCCTGAGTTCTGAGGGGACCCCTTGCCCTCTAGCTCCTCGCCCTCCCTGTCGTCATTGTCCTCATCCTCCTCTTCTTCCTCCTCCTCCTCTGAAGTTTCAAGGGGCTCTGGGTCTGAGCTCAGGAAGGGCTGGTGGGACTGCAGGGGCAGCTGGAAGCCACAGAGAGGCCGGATCACGCCAGCAGCCATGTCCTGAAGTCACTGGAACTCCTGGGGCCTCTGTGACTGCAGGCAGTGACTGGAGAGGGAGGTAGCGGGCAGGTGAGCAGTCAGAGCTCAGAGCCACATGTGCAACCCAGAGAGGGCTCCCCGGCTCTTCCCTCCCACAGCTCCCAGCTTCCCTGGCCCAGCTCAGCAGGGGTGAGGTTGGCAGAGACTGCAGAGGGTGGGCCCAGGAGTGCGGTGGGCCATTAGCAGGAGCAGTCAGATCCCATCTTATAGGTAGGGAAGTTTTGGGTGCAGGGAGGATGTGGGGGTGAGATTAAGCCACTACAATCACTAAAATCATGGCCACTCCTGGACCAGGGAAAGCAGAGGGAGAGAAGTCCCAGGGGGTCAGCCTTGCCCAGGGCTTCCAGAGTCCCTCCCTGGGTTGCTATGGCCTCTCAAACCCTTCCTAGGGTCCTTGCAGTTGCCATGGGGGGGTGGGGGTGGGCATGGGCATGAGGGTCCAGCCCAGCCCATTGCATCCAGTGGCAGCCTCAGACCCAGGTTCTGGTTGACTTCTGATGAGGTAAGGATACCTGGGTGGACCTGACCTAGGCACCTCCTGCTGGGAGGATGATGTGGAAGAATCTGGGAAAAGTGGGGTCCAGGAACCTTGTCTGCGTCTGCACGGGAAAGCCAAGTGGGTGCACCCCAGTGAGAGGGAGGAAGAAAGCAGAGCTGAAGGCCCGGAAGCCCAGGACCCAGCTCATCAGGAAACAACACCTGTCTCTGTGGGGGCCTGGGTGTGGGTAGCCAAGGCCCTTGGACATGCACTCCTCAGGGTCAGGATGACCTAGGCACTTGTCCCTCCCCTGGGGAAGCAGAGGTAGCTGTACACAGTCTCCTCCACCTGGAAGCCACTGTGTGACCTTACTTGCTCAAGGTGCAGGGCCCTCTGCTGTCGGGATGTCCAGGCCTCTGGGGATGACTGCTCACGGAGAGCAAGACAAGACACCTTCCCACAGGGAGAGCAGTCCCACAGAGGACCTGGGAGGAAGCCCCACGGAGCCATGCCCCCCCCATGGCCCTCCCCACTCACCACCAGGCCCTGGGTCCTACCTGGCCTCTGCTGCACCTCTTGCTCGGCAGGCCCACCTCCACCTGGATGCAAGCATTTATAGCTGGGCTCTGCAGCCGCCTGAGGCTGGCAAATATTTGGCGACAGCATTGTCATCGCAGACTGGACAAATAGAGCCCGTTTGCTTTAGCGCCCGGCAACCAGGGCCCCGCGGGGGGAGCGTCCGAAGACGAGCCTCACCTGCACGCATCCTGCCAGGGGACCGTGGAGTGTTTGCTGCAAGCCCAGCTGGCCCACACCCTGGACCCGAGGACCCTTATCTCTGCTGCTCATTGGGCCTGGTCCAAGCCTTGTCAAATAGGCGGAAAATTAAATTTCATGCTATTTTGAGTTCTCGAGTAGGCCTCTCTAGAGGACATCCTGCCTCTGCGGTGTGCTGCACAGATAGTGCTTCACTGGCAGCAGGGCTCTGGGCCAGCAGGAGGCACAGAGACCACAAGGCCACTGGGATGGGCTAATGCAGGTGGCTCCTGGCCTAGCCCCCTCCAGCCATGCAGTGGGGGGAGGGGGTTCTGGGCAATTGTGCCCAGTCTCCACCAGCCCAGATGGGGCCATGATGAAGACCCTGCCCAGCAAGGCTGCCCCTCCCACCTGCACAGAGTTGCAATCACCCAGTGAACCTACTGCTGGCCTGGGCTTCCCCAGGGGCCAGGCTGAGATGGCTCCCCACCCCCCATTCCAGGCATCCTCCTGGCTGAAGCCACCCCGAAGTGGAGTGAGAGACCCTGACTCCAGCCAACTTGCCCGAATCCCACTACTGCTGATAGGGCTGGTCCTGCCCAGCTTGGCTTGGGCCATCAAAGGCCTTACAATGCTTGCTGTTCTTGTTTCCAGCTCCTGATCTCCAAGAGGCACATGGACACCACCTCCTCGTTCCCAGTTGCTCCCCCTCCAGGTGGGGGGGCAGTACCTCCCACCCTCTGCCATCTCAGCACAATGGACCTGGCCTTCCCTGCAGCTGGATCCCTGCTGGTTACTGAAGTCCTTTCCTCAGCTGGAGGGCAGAAAGCTTCAGGAGCCCTGCAACTACATGGGGCTTGGGAGCTGCTCACATCTCACAGTGAGGCTGTTTGTCTGAGCTGTAGTGGAATGGCAAGGGGCAGGTCACCTGCATGTCCAGAGAGAGACTTCAGGCTGTAGGAGGGTAATGGCATCATCACAGCAACCAGCCACCATTTATCACTACCTTGTCCCTGGAAGGAAACCCAGGGGGTGACCCAGGTGAGACCATGTCCAGGTAATGCCAATGTCCTGGGATGAGGGGCATCTGACCAGGTTCAGTCCTGAGCATCCAGACTGCTTGGGGATCTCTGTCCCCATAGACTGACCTCAGGAGGTTTTTCTTTTTTGTACATGAGATTGAACTTATCCACTGAGCCACATCCCAAGCCCTTTTTGAGACAGGGTCTCACTAAGATTTTTAGGGCCTCACTTAGTTGCTGAGGTTGGCCTCAAACTCATGATCCTTCTGCCTCAGCCTCCCAACTTGCTGGGATTACTGGCATGTGCTACCACACCCAGCCTGACCTCAGTTTTGACCAAGTTTGAGACTTCAGGATCCAAAGACACTGGCCCCATCCTGGCTGTGGGGTGGTCCTGCCTCAGCAGGCTCCTCTCTGACCCAGTGCAACTCAGCTGTCAGACCAGATCATCAGAAGGCCCAGGGTCCGAGTTACAGGCTGCTGGGGCACATAGGTCCTGCTTTGTGACCATATTCGGCCCCTTGCCCTCTTGATGGCTCAGGGGGCTCCTGCTCTGATCTTCCCAGAACCCCAGAGCTGGACCAGGGCAGAGAATGGGGCACATCTGCTTCTGCTCAGAACCATAGCGCCCCCTGCTGCTTGCTCTTGGAAGGATGCGCCCAGGGAAGGGGCTGGGAATAGGCTGAAGTCTATGTGCTGCCCACTTCCACCTTGGGGGTAAGCAGCAGAGCAGGCAGTCAAGGGACCTTGGGAACCTGCCAGAGGACCCAGGAGGCATGTGGCTGTGGGCTCTGTGTTCCCCCCGACCGACTGGGAGATGGTAGAGGCTGTGCAGGTGCTGTGAGCACAGGCAGTCACCAGTTCCCTCAGAGCAGCCCTGGCCTGTGTGGCCCCAGGGCGGAGCACTGCTGTGAGGGAAGACACACCACCCTGCCCTTGAAAATGTCCCACCTGTGTGTCCAGAGGAGGGGCTTTGGGGGTAAGCTGCAGGAAGGCAGAGTATTCCAACTGAGGACAGAGCCTGAGCAGACCCAGGTGCTGCTGCAGAGCTGGGAATCTCTGGGGTTCATTGGGTCCTTGTGAAGTGGAGGCAGCAGGTCCAAGGCAGACAGAATGGACAATGCTGTGCTAATGGCTTTGAAGATGGCGAGGGTGACAAGGCAAGGGGTGCAGGGGCCTAAGAAGCTGGAAAATGCAAGAAAGCAGGTCCCCGCAGGCTGCAGAGTGTGACCTGCTGACTGGATTCCAGGCCAGTGAGGCCCACTTGGAGCTCCATGTGTGTGTGTGTGTGTGTGTGTTTAAACCTCGCAGCTGTTGCTGGTTCCAGCATAGGCAGCCTCAACTGGAAGCGGGCAGCGCGTGTGCAGGGCCTCATGGCAGCTGTGGAGCTCAGATCCCCCCAGCCACAGGGAGAACCCAGCCTAGGTGAACTCAAGTCCCAGGTGAGGCCATGAACACTGGACCTCAGCTCATCCCTCTACAATGGAAGAGAAGATCTGTGTGAAGTGATCTGTCCAGCTGCTGTAGGAGGAACGCATGAGGGGTCCTGACACCCAGGGCCTGGCTTTTACCCCCACACACCTTCTTCTTTCCCATCCTTTGATTGAGGCATCTGGACAGCAGGGCTGGGGCTGCGACAGGGGTTTGGATCCTACAACAAGCAAATGCAGAGATGCCCATCATGTTGCTGAGAGAGGGCTGTCCACTAACATTCAGACCTTTGTCCTGGCCTAGAATGATCCTGACGTTTTTCTCTGCCTGAAAAGAAATCAAGGAGGAAACCCAAGCCTGGGATGCAAACTTCTAGAGTAGAGAAGATGCTGGAGCAGCTAGGGTAGGAGTTTGGGAACAGGAGCTTGGCAAGGCCTTGGGGAAAACACTTGAGACTAGAGAGGGAGGTACCAGGGTCCCACAGTGTGGGCTGAGGCATGATGATGGAGGGGACAGGCAACTTAAGGAGCAGGTCTGCAATCCAGCGGGAGTTCAACAAGTCATCCCCTTCCTCACCCCACCTGAGCTTTAGGCCAAGTTCAAGATAGACCAGCTGTCTCTGGCTTTTGTTTCTGGTAAAGCTAGGTTAGTGAGTGACAGCCTAACAGGGAATCTTGGGTTAGTAGAGAGACTCACTTGCCAGGAGTCATTGCCTGTACATGTCTAGCTGGTGTTGGGTGGGTAGCCAGGCCCAGACCGAGCAGCTTTGTGTCCCCCAGCCCCCTGCCACCCATCTGGGCCCCTAGAGGAAGCTGGTGCCTCAACATATGTCCCAGCATCTGCCTGGCTCTCACTGTGGGCAGTGCTGGCCCTGCACAGCTCTCAGCCCAATGCCTTCACCAGCCCCCACCCCCACCTGTTGTCAGGTCTCAGGCCCTGGAAGAACAACTCTGCCCCACCAGAGGCAAGCTCTGCCTATCCCCAGGCACCCCATATTGATCTTCCCAGGAAAATCAATAGCTCCAATATGTCAACTCTCAAGTGGCGCTACAATAAATTACCCCGCCATTAAGCACACAAGGGCCGTAGCCTCCGCCCTCCCCCCATTAGTGGGACATTAGGCCTCCCTTGAAATTTCTCTGTGTGCTTTGAGATAATGCAGGCTGAGGTGTTGGTTTATATCCCCAGGGAGGGGAGGGTGACTTGGAGCTGTGGCCTTTTCCTCTCGGGGGTTCCCAGCCAGGCCACTGGGAACCAGCATGCCTGGGAGGTGAGGCACCTCAGCAACAGGATGCGAGGAAGGACTGCAGGGCTCAGTGAGGCAAGCAACTGCTGGAGGGTCCTGGGAAGCAGGGCTTTGCCCTGGGTTGGATGCTGGGTTGATGCTATGGTGGGGCCACTGTAAGTAAGCACTACAAACTGGACAACTTCAAACAATAGAGGAGCCGGCACAGTGACACACACATATAATCCCTGCCACTTGGGAGGCTGAGGCAGGAGGGCTCCAAGTTCGAGGCCAGCCAGAGCAATGTAGTGTAACTCTGCCTCAAAATTTTTAAAAAAGGGGCTGGTAACGTGGTTCAGTGGTACAGCACTTACCTAGCATGTGTGAGGTGCTGGGTTCCACCCCCAAACCACAAAACAAACAAAAACAACAGGGCTTCTTTACCTCACAGCCTTGGAGACCAGAAGTCCCAAACCAGGGATACTCCCAGTGACAACTGGGGAGATTGTGCCAGGTCTCACGCCTGTCAGTGCAGTCTCAGCCAGCAGACACACCATTTCAACCTCTGCCTCTGTGGTTATTTGACCTTCTTCCTTCTGTACATCTGTCTTCTCTTCTTGTAAGGACATGTGTCACTGGATTAGCCCACTCTGATGTAGCATGACCTCAGTTTAACAACATCTGCAAAGACCCTGTTTCCAAAAACTGCCATACTCTTGTTTTCTGAGGGGGAACTACAGACTCAATACAGTATCTTCCATTATCAGCAGTAGCCTGAGTGTGTGTCACCCAACTACAGCTAGGAAGCTCAAGGGGGCTCAGAGGATCAAGTTACCCTCTAAGGTCTCATTTCTGTTTCTGATCCATGACAGTCATCAAGACTGGGATGGGCGCCCTGTCCTGTTCTGTCCTGGGTGAAGCCCCAGCCCCTGCACTACCTTCTCACCCAAACCCTGCATGGCTGGCCTGAGCAGTTTGTGCTTAGCCACCATGAAGCATCTCAACCTGAAACAGCACCAGTCTGAGCTGGTGGCCCCTCTGCAGCTCCATTCAAGCCTGCAGACCCTTGACCTCTTCCTCCAGGAAGCTCTCTAGACCACCCACTATCCTCACTTCAATCGCCCTCCTCCCATGCACACTGGGTGCTCCCAGGTCCCTGCAGGGGAAGTTGGTGTGCCTGTGATTCTGGTGGGGCTCTGAGCTGGAACAGGTGCCTCTGTTGACACAGCAGCTCTGAATGCATCCTGGGCTGGGCCTGCTGTTAGGAGGGGGGCGGGGACGCCCAGGTGTCCTTGGCTGGAACAACTCTAGGCTCTCCCGACCTAATGCTGTGACAGCATCTCCGGCCAGGAATATCTGAGCCAAGTGCTTCCCTCGCCGGGAAGCAGGCACAGAAAGATATCACACGTTCCAGGTCACGAGGTAGCTTTTGGATCTGATTTTTGTGCCATCCCCAGAGCAGATTATGGCTCCCGGGAGAAATCTTAAATGTGTATTTCTAAGTGAAAGAAACCAAGATGAAAAGGCTGAAGCGTGAGTGGCGGCACCCCAGAGCAGACGATAGCTTCCGCCCGACGCCGAGCGCCAAGAGGGGGCATGCGGAGAGCGAACGACCTACGACAGCGGGAAGGAGGTCAGTGCGTGCTCGGCTGGTCCCAGTACCGCTGCCCAGGCCGGACGGATAACTACACTTCCCGGCAGGCCGCGCGGTATCTGGGGGCGGGACCTAAAGCGGAAGTGCTCGGAGGAGTGCGTCATTTCCGCGGCGCGGCTGGGCTCACGTTCCGTAGTCGTGAGGCCAGGTATGGCGGCGGCTTCCGGTCCTGGACGACGGAAGTGACGCAAGCGGTGCGCCGCAGGGAGGAGGTCGCGATGAGCCGCGTCCTGTGTGCGCCCACTGCAGGGTGAGGATCTTGCCGTCTTGATGGGCCGGGACCCGGGCCGAGGCCAAGGCCAGGCGGCCCATTCACTGCTATCTCCTTTGTAGGGCCATACGGGCACTCAGGCTTGTGGGCTTGGCTCCACGGAACCTGCACCCGCCGCCGGCTGGCCGGGCCCAGCCCGCGGACCATGAGGAGGACCCGGAACGCCCCCTTCGGTTTTCCTCCAGCAAAGCCAGCCCGTCCCGCTGGACCGTGATGCATTCCCTGGGGAAGGAACAGCAGCGGCCCTGGTGGAAGGTGCTACCCCTCAGCCTCTCCCTCCTGGCTCTGGTCTCCTGGTGCTTCCTGAGGCAGGAGAGCGGCGCGGATCAGTGGTTGAGACGCGTGCTGGAAATAGAGGGGCCTGAGCCCGGAGACGCCCCCGAGGAGCCCGGCGCGCGGGCCGCCTACCCGGCGAGAGCCTCGGGTGCCGGCTAAAGGACTCGCGCTCGTGGCGCTGACTTGCGTGAAGGCAGCGGGATGTCGGCAGGAGCCTGCTCCTTGTCTAACACCGTTGCGCAGTGATTGCGTCCTAAAGACTTCTCAGATCCACGGGGAAGGTGTTGGCCGCATTGTGTGCCGCTGGATTTGGGATGTCTTTGTACAGCCTAGTCATGGCGCCAAAGCAGTCCTGGCGGATACTTGTAATCCAGTGTTACTTTGCAGACCATGTGCTTTCTGAAACACTATAACTGACATGAGTGTTAGAACGTGCTACGCGTAAAGAACATCTGTTGGTGTTAGTTTTATATACTAACAAATTGAAAATACATTTTAATACAATGATGCACTAAGGCGATTCAGGTGTTTTTTTCCTTTTGTTACATCTAATTGAAAAAGTATTTTAGTAGGCCAACAACCGCCTTTTTAAAAACTGTAGTTTGTTTGTTCATTGTGGTGCTGGGGATTGAACCCAAGGACCCCATCCATTTATTTTGAGACAAGTCTCTCAAATGCCGAGGCTGGCCTCAAACTTGTGATACAATTTCATCTGAAATTGCTGGGATTACAGGCGTGCACTACTGCCCCTGGCTGTGCAGAACTTTATTTTTAACACGTCAACAACTTTCTGTTGTAGGAAACAACTAATAAGTATTTCTTTTAGTTGTAGATGGACACAATGTCTTCACTTTTTAAAGTTTTTTTTTTTTTTAGATGTAAATGGACACAATACTTTTATTTTATTATTTTTATGAAGTGCTGAGGATTGAACCCAGTGCCTCACACATGCTAGGCAAGCGCTCCACCACTGAGCCACAACCTCAGCCCTCTTTGCTTGTTTTTATATGGGCTAAGGATTGAACCCAGTGCCTTACACATGGGACGCAAGTGCTCTACCACTGAGCTACAGCCCCAGCCCAATAAGTATTTATTTTCACAAATTGCAATCACTATTTTGGATTACCTGAATATAGTTTTCCAAGTGTTATTAAGAACAAACTTGCTTAATTTGAATTAAATACAAAATATATAAAAAGTAGCTTTCATTTACTTGGACTTCAGCTGGAAGGCTTTATTATCCTGTGTGGTGCTGAAGGTACTGTCCCCACCGTCCCCACCCTTTCCCCCCACCCCCCATGCATGTTTGAAAAACAAGTTTTGGGCCACTAGGTGTAGCAGTGTACACCTTCTTACAAGGACCTCTTTGCAGAAGTTGCTGAGGATCTGCCACCTTCAGAGACTACCAGGAACTGGGGTGTGTACCAGCATGCTCATTGTTGAAGGACTGAGCCTGAGGCCTAGGAAAGACTACCTAGGCTTAACTCCCCTGGCCTGGTCCTAGAGGGGGCAAAGAACTAAGGTGCTTTCTCTTTGCCTTGGGGTGTTTGTAACCTGTTTGGATGTGAGCATTTTGTTTGAGAGCAGTCATTCGAACCAGAACTCTTACTTTCACTCTATCTTTAAGAACTTTTGTGTTAACAAAAAGCTTTTATCTTTTGTTTTGTAGTGCTGGGGATTGAACCCAGGGCCTTGTGCATGCCAGGCCAGCACTCTATACCACTGAGTTACACTTCCAGCACTTTTTAGTTTTAGTTTGAAATAGGGCCTTTTTAAGTTGCCCAAGCTGATCTTGAACTTGGGATCCTCCTACCTCAGCCTCCTGTGTAGCTGGGATTATAGATATGTGCCACCACACCTGGCTTAAAGTAATTTCCATATAACAAAGCAATATATATTCTTTTCTAGAAAAGATAGTAAGCAAAAGAGAACCAGAAGCACCAGATGTAACCACTTTGAATATCTCATCATTTAGTTTTTTGTGTAACTATAATATTGTTTTTCAAAGACACAGCAAGTTGTTTTTTTGTTTTGTTTTGTTTTACAGTGCTAGGAATGGAGCCCACAGCCTTCAGCATGCCAGGCAAGTGCTCTTCCACACTGACCTGCACCTCCAGCTCCTGTGGGATTTTTTTTTTTTTTTTTTTTTTTGTAGTGGGGATTGAACTCTGGCACTGGACCACTGAGCCACACCCCCAGCCCTAATTTGTATTTTATTTAGAGACAGGGTCTCACTGACTTGTTTAGTGCCTCCGTTTTGCTGAGGCTGGCTTTGAACTCATGGTCCTCCTGCCTCAGCCTCCAGAGCTGCTGGGATTACAGGTGTGTGCCACTGTGCCCAACAACGTGGGATTGTTTTTAATGACAGCACTCGCCCTATATAGCACATCCTGAGTGCATCCAGGCTGTTGGCTTCACACTGGTCAAGGGATCCTCCTTTACTCATGACACTAGGGTGTCATGAGTAAAGGAGGGTGTCATGAGTAAAGGAGGATCCCTTGACCAGTCAGGGACAGTGGACACACCTGAAGTTTCCAAGGGGTGACAACTGAGTAGGGTAATGGATGCACAGCTAGTTAAATCTTTTATTTAACTATTTTTTGTAGAGTGCTTGTCTTATTCCCTTATTCCTTGCCCTCCTGGCCTGGATGCCAACCTCCAGGAAGAGTGCTGGCAGGTTGGCATCCCCAGGTGAGTGCCCAGTGAGCATCTGCAAGGAAGAGCACCATAGAACAGAGGCAACATCAGGGATGTGTAAACTGAGCTGCAGGGCAGAAGGAGGAGGAAACTGTCGGAGAAAGAAAGGGCTGGGAGGCTGGAGATGTGGCTCAAGTGGTAGCGTGCTTACCTGGCATGCATGAGGCACTGGGTTCGATCCTTGGCACCACATAAAAATAAAGTAATAAAAAATTGTCCTATAAATGTGAAATAAAGAAAGAAAGAAAAAGAAACGGCTGGGACTGTAGCTCAGTAGTGGGAGTACTTGCCTTGTATGCAGAGGGCCTTGGGTTCAATTCCCATTCCTGGAAAAAGTTTTATTTTCAAGGGAGAGGAGGTTGACTAAATGGCCACTTCGTGTAAGCTGCTAAGCAATAAGCAATGTTGGAAAATCCTGGTAGTGCTGTGCATTTGCTTCCCTCCCCACCGCAAAAAAAAAGGGGATACTACATTCACAATAAAACCCTGGTGGCTGGGCATGGTGATGCACATCTGTAATCCCAGAAACTCCAGAGGCTGAGGCAGGAGAATTGCAAGTCCAGCCTCAGTAATTTAGCAAGATTCTGTCTCAGAAAACCCTAGTGTTACTTTATGTGTAAATATGCCACCATCCCAGATTTTAAAGAATATTCTTCAAAAGCATGGGAAATACTTTTGGTGTTGTAGCATATCAATTTTCTTTGATGTCTTTGAGGAAGATATCTTCTCCAGGAGGGACCTTCATTCAACAAAGTTCCTTTTTCTGGCTGTGTGTGTGCTTCTTAGTTTACCTTCCTAGGCTCCTCAGGTGTTGCCCCTAAGTTTGAGGGCTTAGAGTTACCCCATATATTTTCATCTGTGCATGTTCACAAACTGCAAGACGTTTATTCCTCTGAGGAATCCTTGGGCCTTGCCTTCCTGCTTCATTCTGCTTGACTTATTTATTTATTTATTTATTTATTTATTTATTTATTTTGTACTGAGGATTGAAACCAGGGGCACTTACCACTAAGCCACATCCCCAGCCCTTTTTAAATATTTTTATTTAGAGGCAGGGCCTCACGAAACTGCTGATGTTCTAAGACTCTCGGATTACAGGCAAGCGCCACCGTACCTGCCTTGATTTGCTTTTAACATGTGTTCTTGATTTTTTTAAACCACTTAATTTCATTCAAGATTAAACTTTATATGTAAACTTTGTAGAGGTAATAATTCATTTAGAAAAGTGAACATATAAAAAAGTTTTCTTGGTCTGAGTTTGTGGCCCAGTGGTAGAGTACTCATCTAGCATGCATGAAGCACTGGGTTCAATCCTCAGCACCACATAAAAATAAATATTAAAGCATTTTTTTTTTGAGAGAGAGAGAGAATTTTTAATATTTATTTATTTATTTATTTTTAGTTTTCGGCGGACACAACATCTTTGTTTGTATGTGGTGCTGAGGATCGAACCCCGGCCGGAAGCATGCCAGGCGGGCGCCCTACCGCTTGAGCCACATCCCCAGCCCAAAAATAAATATTAAAAAAAAAAAAAGATATTGCCCGGTGCAGTGGCACACACCTGTAATCCCAAAGACCTGGAAGGCTGGATCGCAAGTTCAGAACCAGCCTCAGCAACAGTGAGGAACTAAGCAACTTTTATTTTTTTATTTTTTAGAAAGAGAGAGAGAGAATTTTAATATTTTTATTTTTTAGTTCTCGGCGGACACAACATCTTTGTTTGTATGTGGTACGGAGGAGGAGGATGGAACCCGGGCCGCACGCATGCCACACCAGCGCGCTACCGCTTGAGCCACATCCCCAGCCCCACTAAGCAACTTTAAATAAAATACAAAATAGGGCTGGGGATGTGGCTGAGTGGTTCAGTGCCTGAGTTCCATACCTGGTACCAAAAGAAAAAAGTTACCAGCAAGTGATAAATTTTAATTTACTGTGTTATTAGCATTTCAAAAAATAACTTACGTACTTGGACAAATTATATTTGTATGTTATTCGGTATCTGATTCTGATGTTGTTTACACTTAGATCACTGTTCCCAGAAATGGAGTACATAAGTTTCCAGAGGGTCAGGACCCTTTGCCCTCGAGCTATTTCCTTTCTGGACAAGTCTCCAGCGTAGAGTTTGCTGTTCAGTAAGAAACCCAAGCGACCCACCTGCCAAGGGTGCTTCCTTGTTTTATCTTGCATATAAAATGTCTCAGGACGTGTATTTACGAATCAATGCATCGCAACCCTGGGCTCTCCCTCCTGAACGCTCCCACCTGGGCCCGCCGACCCGCCGCCGATGCATCCCTGCTCATCCTGTGCGCATCTGCCCCTTGATTGCCAGCTTCTTGCATTCCTGTTTTAGGAAGCAGCTCTACTGAGATGTAATTCATGTATGATTCAGTTCATCCATTTAAAGTACACAATTCCAAAATCTCCAGTATGTCGCAGGGGCGACCATCGCCACGCTGTGGTTTTAAACCTTTTCCTGCTAAAAGGAGCCAGGTCCGCGAGCAGTCCCCGCGTCCCCGTAGCTCCCCGGGCGCCCCAGCCAAGCCCCGGACCTGCCCCGACCGACGGCGAGACCTGAGGTACCGCCACAGCCGCGTGCGCGTGCGGGGGTCGGTGTGCTGGGGCGCGACCCGCTGCGGGCGGACCGGGGCGGGGCCTGGGCGGGGCCGGCACAGCTGGGGGCGCTGGGGGCTCAGTGCGGGGGGAGATCCGGGGGCGGGGGCGCCGGCGCGGCGCATGCGCTCTGCATTGTTTTGACTGAAAATGCCGTCGGTTTCGAAAGCGGCGGCGGCGGCGGCGGCGCTGAGTGGGTCCCCCCCGCAGACC